CACTGTAAAATTTAACACAATGCTGAGAATCTTGCAAACATCTGTAGAAAATGGATTGTTAGCCAGTTACATGTATCAAAAAAAGAGATAGGAATATATTTTGTACCTATCAAATGCTGTGTTAGAGGTGGAGCTTGCCAGAGTGGCATTGATGTAGAACATACCAGCTTATCATAAGGCTCTTTGTAGGGCAAACAGGAAGAAAGCAGAATTTGAAATTTCTGAAGGAAGTCAAAATTGCAGGTTTGATTTTGGTCTCAAACCTGTTCTTTACTGATGTGCTGGAAGGTAGAGAGGGATTTTTGATTTATTCAGATATTAGTTCATATTTATGTGAATTAGATTTATTTTTTCCAAAATATAAAGCTTCATGATTAAAGGTAGTGAACAATTTCTTACAGGCAGTCCTGATGTGGTAGGTCTTGATTTTAGGGATTGGATTAATGCCTTCCAGTTTGGCCTGAGAATTTCTTGTGGGTACAGAGCTCCGTGGAAAGGACAAGAATGTTTGTGGGTCAAGTGAACAAATAAACAGTGGAACCTTGTAGCCAAGATAAGAAGGAGGGGATGGAAAAAAAGAATAGGAATAGGTGATAAGGGAATAAAGAGTATATATACTTTTAATATGGCTTGGATCTGTATGGAAAATGAGATGACATGGTTCATTAGGATTATCATACTGAGGACCTAACTTGCAAAATCCATAATAAGGACAATCTTTTTGATTATGTAGCATTGTCACAGTGAGTACCTGTCCCACATGAGGTCTTTAGGGCAATGTGAGAAAAGGACTAGAATAGAGAATAGAAATACTAATTTGTATTTATTGGTGAGGGAGGAACAGACAAGGAAATACAGAGAAAACGAGTTCAGGTTTGCCTTTGTTAAGTGTGTTTAGATTGAAGTACGTGGTGGGTAGCTCATTTGGTACAGCAGCTCTAGTCCTCAGTTATTTCTGTGCAAGACTATGTAGACACATCCACTGTAGAGCAAGTGCCCAATGTAATTTTGTTATGTGTTAGTAAGCATTTGATAGAAATCATGCAAAGATTTTGTAAGGAACCAGGAGGTAATCTTTTTTGCTAGAAGCTTGTTTAGTGACTATGAAAGCATTTTTTTTCCCTCAAGACAAGCTGGAGAAATTCTTATGTTGTATTAGTATGTGTTATTTCTTTCTTTGAAAAAAGTAGGTATTGCATTGATTGCAATAGTTTCCAAGTCTCCATATACTACAGTTCTAGTCTAACCCTTAACTTCTGAGATTTGTAAATCATGTCTAAATCTGTTGCTACCCATCACTCCTGAACAGGTGAGTTCATGAGCTGGGCATGTACTGATATATAAAGTGAATGTGTTACACTTGAATGTTGGATGTAACTGGTCTCCCAGCTGGTAGCAAGCCCGTTCTTCCTACTTGTACTCTTTGGTCACCTTGTTTTTCTCATTAAGGCTCTTGGTTTTGTTTGTTGAGGGATTTTAAAATGAGCATTAGGGAATGCAGGGAGATAACTTCCCTGTCTCCAATGGAACTGTGTTCAGTGACATTAATGGATGTTTTGACTCTGAAGAACTGTAATCATAATATGTACAATGCAGTTCATTGGGTGATGGTACGTGAGTTTATTTGGGTGGAGCGTGTATCTTTCTTTTCACTTCATGGTTGAAGACTGATAGGATGAGTGAACTGAGTTGCTGAAGACTCCAGCAAGCCACATGCACAGCAGAGCTAAAGCAGATTTCTACTTAACTTCTCCCTAGTACATTAGCTAGATGCCACAATATCCTCCTTAGTAATCTGAATACAGACTGTGTGGAATTATAGCAGTTACATCTGTGATCAAGACTTAAAGCTCCTCCTGCACCACATGAAGATTTTTGTGGAAAAAAATGTTTTTCTTTCTTCCCTTTGTTTTTCTAACAAAGGAGGCATCAGTTGTTACTGTCTCAAGAGCAGATAAATGTATCTTTATGTAATGAATTCTCTCATACAAGTTATAGGAGTTACAGGGGAAAATGCATGAATATACACAGAACCTCTGGATTTCAGTTTGCTACCTGCCAAACTTCAAGGTTTTTATGGAATATCAGATGGGTATAGTTTCTTAAGCAGTGTCTTGCATTGTTTACTTCCATAAGGACTCTTGGGAAGTAAAATACCACTTAGGGTGTGTTAGATTATCAGAAATTGATTCTGAGGTAGCTACTTTCTTCTAGTAGTAAGAGCAAGGAAATTTTAAAAGCCAAAATGATGGTAAACTCTGTATCAGTTTTAATGAAAGGGTTATAAACCTCTAATTTATAGTCCATTGGTATTATGTTATCAAAAATGTTTTCACATTAGAATTAGTACTATTATAGACCTAGATAATTTTAAAATGTGCAATACAGTTTCTCCCTGGTTATTTAGAATTTTTTTTAAAGGAAAGCCTTATTTGCAGATACAGCTATGTATATTACATGAGGGCATGGATCTAAGTATAATTTCTTTATTGTGATATTTGTCTGTATTTCCTTCCATTGAGTATGTGAATGGCTTGACTGTGTATATCATCAAATGAAAAGGAGGTAAAAAAATTGTTCATCTTGGTAGATTTATATTATTTTAATTTAAGCTTCAGTTCCATTACCTTTTGATTAAACATACTTCTGTCTGATGCTATCCATCTTTTATCACTATGGAATCTGCTCCCAAGCAGAAAGAAAGATGGCATCTGAATTATGCAAAAATCATTTTCTATCTATTTTTCTTCAAATGCTGGGCAGTCTTATTCATAATCCCACCAATATTGCATGTGCCTAGTTCTAATCCTGTGCCTATTTCTGAATGTTCAACTATCAAACCTTGGTCTTTTGCTATTTGTTTTTATGGCAATGTATTGTCCTGGAGGTCGTTTGCTTCAGGTGTACCTCAAGCTCCTGATTCAAGGGTGAAGACCAGTGAGTTATCATTAGTTCTGAAAATATCTGAACTGTCAGTTTTTAAAGTGGTCTTGTAGTTGCGCATTTCTAAGTATAACTTTAAAACCAAACAAAAATTACCATGCTCTGTTGATCGGATCACCATAAATTTTATCAAATAGCTTAGACCATGAATCAGTCGCAAGTTATATAGGTAATTACCATAAATAAGGTTTTGTTCATAATTATACACTTATTGACCTCTTTGGGTGTGTGGTTGGTTTTTAATGTGATTCACAAAATCATAATTGGTAGCATATAATGAGAAATGTGCTTCTTGAGTTTGACAGAGTGACATACGCAGTCTTCTGCAGTAAAACAAATTAAATTTCACTGTTAAGTGGAGGTGATCATTACCCACTTTCCTGGTGGGCAGAAGCTACTGAGCACTGTTGTATACAATTCACTGCATTATAGTTGCAGATGTTGGTTGTGTCCTTAAGCCGAGTATCTTCTGTGTTAGTAACCTTTATAGATGCCAACGGTCCGTCTGGGTGCATGAGAATCACATGCACACAAAGCCTTCCCTGCGGAGAGAGGAGCATGGAATTAGATCTGTAAACTGCTGTCTTCCTTGGGTCAGCTAGTGAGTGTTGTCATGTGTTAGCTTCATGTACAGCTTGGACAGTAGGAGATAGAACAACAAAAGAAAGATAAGAAAAAAGCAAGAATTACAAGCGAAGAAGAAACAAAACCTCCCCAACAAACAACAGTTGGCCCTGGATTTGTGGCTAGTTGGCAAAATAATTTTTTGTCACCAAAACTCAGTCAATCCTCTTTGTTTTTTAAGAATGAAAGGGGATTGACAGATGTTTCCTGGTAACTAGACTGTGCTACCAGTGCAGCTTCATAAACAGTAAACTCTGTGCTGTGTTCTTCTTGCTGTGCACATGAACTGTGACTTCTTTGGTGATGACTTCCCCTGCTGTCCAGAAGCCAGTTCTGGGAGGTATTTTGTGCAAGGGAGAAGAGAGATGGGAAGTAGTAGAGTAGGGCACAGTAATGGCAGTAGAAAATGTAAATAGATGGAGGAGAGCTAAAATAAACAATGAAGAGTGAGAAAGTGAGTTGCACTTTATTACATTGCTCACAGGGATCACATATGTAATGTGTCCTTGCATTCTTGTGTAGTTAAGTCTGTGTCACCAGGGACAAATTTTGCACTTGGTATTGTCCTGTTACCCTGCATATGTGCCAAGTTTTTCAACTTCAGTGTTGTGTTACTACTTGGTTATAGTCACACTCATCCTGGTTGTCTAGAAATTTGCCTGGGTGACCAGAAAGAAATATTTCGCTGTTTTATAGGACGTATCATCTTTCCACCCTTCCTTCTTTTTTCGTTTTGTTGATGAGAGCAGCTGTAGCTTGTTTCAGGAAGGTTAACTCCTATATAGCTGTACTAAACAGGTAGCAGAATGCTTTCTTAAAGCAATGATCAGTATGGAGGTAGAACACAAATGTTAAGTCATCACTGATGACATCTAAATGCACAGCTGTACGATTTCTTTCAAACCCTCATGAACCATTTCAGGTCTTTAAGCCACATATATGTTCTTACTTTACTAAGGATACTTAGTTTGTACCCTCTGGCCATGTTAATCCATCCTAATTAAAAGCATTGGTTTTGACTATCTAAACTTTATACAGCACTCATTGTTTCTAAAGTTCTGATTCTCTGTACTTCTGTACTCATAATGTTAGGCTTCTATATCTTTGAACTTCTTCTTCTGGCAAAGATAACAGAAGGTCAAACTCTTTCAAATGGAAACTAAACTTGTTAGCTGTTTTTAATAATATGTAAAAATGAATGAATGGTTTTAAACAAACAAGAAATTATGCTGTATACTTGGTCTTGCATGTGTGAAAATCTAAACAGCTTGCAAATACTTGTAGTACTGATTTCCCTTGCTTTCTAAAATTAATCTTTTGAAATAAATATGCTTTTAATGTAAATATTGGAAGGCAGGAAGTAGAAGATTGTTACCTAAAAGGCATCCTCATAATACATTTAATTACATGTTTGTTTATTTTTCCAAATGTAGGTGTCCGCCTAGACAGAGTACGCGGAGGTCGCCAGAAGTACAAGCGCAGAATAGATGCAGAGAACAGCCCATACCTGAACCCTCAGCTAGTTCAGCCAGCAAAAAAGCCATGTGAGTACACCAGATACACAGAATTTCTCTTTGAGTACAAGGTATATTGACTCCTAGTCCTCTTTGCTAAGCTCCTTCTGAGTGGAACAAGGGTTTGGTCAGAGGATATTGCCATGAAGACTATAACAATTTAGTTGTTAACAGGTTTTGTTTTAAATATGCTCATCTTTCTCAAGTGGAGTTGAACAAAGAGTGCTTTTTACAGGTGGAAGTGTATAAAAGCATGGTTTATGCAGTGCAAATTTTACATTTACAGGTTATCTTTATTTTCAGTGGTACATAAAATGGTTTATACTGTGATCATTAGCTCATTGAAGCTTCTACTTTCAGATTTCACAAGAAAGTGATTTTTGTAGTTTTCACTAACTAAATGAGTTCGACTGCTCAACCTCCCAATGAAAATACATTAAGAGCCTCATTAATTTATACCTATAGATTAATACACTACCTAGCATTAGATTAAAACAGCAATATGCCATATTAATAACAAAGCAGAGATTGGTAGTTTGGGTTCTAGTACCCTCTTGGATTTTTTTGCTCTGTTTTGTTATGTTTTAATAATGTCCTTGATTGTATCTTGCCAGGCTGAAATTAGGAGGGAGAGAGAGAGATGATCATCTCATTGCTAAAATACAAGTTCCATCCTCTTTGCGATTAACTAAAAATAGTTAGGGGTTTTGCTTTGCAGCTTATATAAACTCAAGCAGTGACTGTACTAATTCCATGAAGTAAATTTAATAGCATTATAGCCGTAGTGCAAGAGGGTGGTGTATTACCCTGAAAAGGCATACACGCTGTATTAAGTATTGTAAACTCCTCCAAATTCAAACGAGAATACACATGTCCAGTTACTCCTGCTGAGAAGGTTAATTCGCTCCTAAAATGGATAAATAAGCCAGAGAAATAAGGAGGGCGAATTCCTCCTTGTCTCCTGTTTGCCTCTGCCCCTAAGCCTCTGACAAAACACATGTCAGTTTTAGCCTCTTGAAAATACCTGGCTGTATTGAAAATGGAATTCGTTTCCGATCGTGTTCCCCAGTAGGGGACAGTGCTGTGTACAATACGTTTGAGCATATGGGGATCTGGAGAGCAAATAAACAGTCTTTGAACTGTAAGTGAAAGGGCATTTTAGCTGTGTCAAAGAAAAAACAGCCAGTTTTACATAAAATTAAGGCTTAAGTGAACATATGGCATAGTTTCCTTTTGCCTTTCCAAAAAACATTATGCTGATTATATTCCTTCAATTGTCCAATCTGGCATCTTCTACTCAGCCTCCATAAGCTGTCCCACTGTTCTGTAAATACAATCTAGGGCTGCACTAAGCAGATTTTGCACATTATAATAAAAACTTTCTGATAATACAATAAAATTTAATAAACTCTAATGCTTAATTTCATTAGAGGTTTAGTTTTCCTGGGTGCACAGATTTTCGGTTTTTCATTTACTTGATATTGTCATTGAGTAGAAATGTCGGTAGCCTAACATACCAAAAAAACCAAGACCAAACAGAAAAAAAAAAAAAAATTCCAACCCAAAAGCCCCAAGCCCTTAAGGCATGAACTGAGGTTAATGCAGTTGTACCAACACCCAAGAATCTCTGTGTAAACCCATGATTACTGCAAAGTGCTACTACATTACTTTTAAGATGATAACTACACCAATTTCTGTAAGCTCCATTTGTCTGAGATAAACTAACCTCCTCATAAATCATTACTCATTATCTAAGTGCCTCCCTTCATTTTCTTTAACTTGTCCAATTGCAAACATTCCTGTAACAAACATTCATAAAACTTAATTTTCACATCTTGACATGTAAGTGTCCAGACTTGAAACAGTTGAATTGGGTTGGTGTGGAAGTAGCCTGGGAGATTTTCTGGACCCTGACAGATATTTTGAGTGTAACAAAGGCACAGGATTGAAAATTGGGTTCTATTGATTCTAATTAGGGAAACATTAAATAAGATTTACCTAGAAACAGTGCTCATGGCTATCCAATTTCCTGAGTGATGGAGTTTTCTAAGTACATCCAGAATTTTCCTATGTTCTATGCATGAGCCAGTACATGTAGCTTGTTCCCTATACAGTGAAAGAACAGGTGTTTGGAGGAACTTCTCTACACCTACTTCTGATCTTTATTGTATTTTCCAGCTTCACCATGTAATCTAGTGGTCTGCCTATAGATCTTATTAATTACAAAATTTAAAAAAAAAAAAAAAAGATTTTGTGAATCCTGAATCAAATTATAAAATATTCCTGAATCATTTAGACAATGCCATTGGTGAGGAACCTTATACAAAAATGGAAGAGGTTCTTTGGCCATTTCTTCTGTTCCTTGGAAAAAAGTCCCAGAACTTGGGGTTAAGAGGGCATACATTTACACCTGGTTAAAACCCCTGGTTAAAGCTCAGGTCCTCAGCTACGTATGTGTGGATGTTAAGAAACTCTGTAATTCATTTATTCTGCTTTTCAAACCATGTTAAAATATTGGGATTTGGGAAGAAGTAATATTAACTTTTCTAACTCCCATGTTTTCAGTGTGAAATTGAAAAGGATATGAAGATGCTGTTTAAAGAATTAAAAAAATGTCCAAAGGCTGTTTGCCAGTATAAGTTAAAACTACCATCTGTCATCTTTAAATAAGAATAGAATTCTTCATTAATCACTTTGATAATCAGTAGAATATTGAGATCAAGAATTGCTCAGTTGGCATAGTTCCTATAGTTCATATAAAGCATGAATGTAATAAAACATGCTTGATGTGATGGTTTCCAGTTGGCTCTTGCACTTATTATATGAAGGATTAACATATATCACAACTTCTGACACATGAATTTGGAATAAGGCAAAAATTGTCAAGACAGTAGATCAGAATCAAGGAGTCTCTGTCACAAAAGAGCAGTAAAGTATCAGAAATCTGAATCAAGTGAGTATGTTATGGAAATATGTCATGGACTAGTAGGAATCCTCTCTGACACTGCTGGGCAAGTCACATCCCAGTCAGCTTTCACTGCAAAAGGACAGTGTGGTCCATCCTGTGACTTATATACAGATGAGGAAAATTCTACTCATTCTGTCAGCTTTCTCTCCAGTCAGAAAATACTTGGCTTCTTCTCATGGTGGAATCCCATTTACATCAAGCCCCATAACTCTTTATCCCACTGAAGGGAACAGATTCGTGTAAAATCACTGAAAGGTGCCATTTGGGCTTTAAATTGTGATGGTGCATTTGAGGTCAAAAGATGTACCTACCATGAAAAATAAAATGTAACTATATTGGGAAGTATGGTAATGTATCCCGTATTAGGAGGCTTAATGAATTAGTCCGTTTTCCATTTTTCAGTTCTGCCTTTTCAGAGCAATAAATCAGGCTCCTGTATAGAGATAAAATATTTCCATTGTGCCTTCACATGGATATAGTGCTCATTTTATGTTTATCCTACTTATAGAACAGCAACACTGTATTGTAAATCTTCGAGGCTCTGCTCTTCTTTTTTCTTCTCTGCATTCTTCCATATAACTTAATTGATTATTCCAAATAGATTTTACAAGTCATCTGGATAAAAAAAGTAAATATTACACACATGAATGAAAATGCTACATAGATAGAAATAAGCAGTATGTGACTATGATAAAATATCATTCTTTGCAGAAAACGAGTTTTCTGAAGTAAAGTTTGCATACTTTTATGTTTCACACTGTTCTCATTGATTTTATGGTTATTCCTGTTTGAAAATGAAAGGAGATCATTAGGGTATTTTTACACTTAAAGAAGCTAATTGTATACTTGATTGTAAGTTTCTGTGTTTCACTGAACATCAAGTTCATGTAAGACAGCACCCCATTTTTCTCACAGCATAGGCCCCAAGGAATACGGATTCATTCTTAACATTTCAACAGGCAGGATACCCTTAATTTAAGATATTTGAGATAATGAGCACTGAGAAAGTCCTGAGACCCATTTTGTGGCTTTAGTTTAACAGCAACATCTAATAGAAAGAATGGTAGTTGAAGTTGCTGACAGAAGGTGCAGATTTCAGTGACTGACTAATTGCTTGTGGTAGTTACTCTCACAAGAAATACACTTCCCTTTGGGAATGGGGTGGGTCACAGGTAGTTAAAGGCAGGCAAAACTTTTCTATTTACACAGTCCAAAGTATATTATAATGCATGAATCGTTTTCTATAAAGTTTGTATTTCTGTAATAGAAGGTAATCATGTGTTTCTGTGTTCCATTAATTTTACTATATTAAGAATATTAATTTTACTGTATTAAGAATATTACTGTATTAAGAATGTCTGTCTGGCTTGATAAACATTGTTAATGGATCAGATTTGTTTATGCTGTAACCACTTGTAGAAGCCTATGAAGTTACGATAAGGTGTAATTAGGTCAAGTGTTTTAAGACAAAGTCTTGTGGACTTTTAAATCTGAGCCATCTGTTTGAAATGTCGAATGATACTGCTGGTGATCTTGTATTGTTCTGGACCGTTTTTACAGATAACAAGATTGTCTCCCATTTGCTGGTGGCTGAACCAGAGAAGATCTATGCTATGCCTGACCCCACTGTTCCAGACAGTGACATCAAAGCACTTACCACTCTTTGTGACCTGGCAGACAGAGAACTGGTGGTGATCATTGGATGGGCTAAGCATATTCCAGGTACATACAGTATTTATTGCAAACAGATAACATACAGAAATCATTGCATGGGTTATTCTCTTCTGGTAAAAAATACTAATTTTTCTCTCCCTACAGTGCATGAAGTTTTCTTAAGGTTCCAGTTTATTCACGTGGAACATAGGTTAGATAGTAACATATGTGAACTTTTAAGTTAGTGGTATTGTTGCAGTGAGTGTTACTATGTTAATAAGTTTTACATGCTGCTCAGTGAATTCATTTTTTTCATGTATTGCTTTTATGAAGATAAACTTACCTTACTGTCCAGAGCATCAGCCTGGTATGAAGGGTAGTGCAAGTCCTCTCCCCTGTAGCCATCGGATTCAGCATTACTTGAATTTAAGTCTGTCTGCTCTGTAACATAAATGCAGCACTACCTTTTACTGACCAGAGGAGGTGAAAAAAATCGGTTATATTTGGGCCAGGCACAGAGGAATTGTTCTCTTCATTGATTGAACTAGAGTGAGAACGGAATTGTACCAGCAATTCAGTAGAAAGTACTGAATTGTACCAAAAAGTCTCCTCTTACAACTTAGTATTTCCTTGGTCTGCAAGAAATGGACTGCAGTCTACTTTACGTTAATGCATTGATACTGTAAAAGCTGACTGGCACTCTTATTAGCAAGAAAAATGGGGGTCATCAAAAGCAGTTTCTCAGAAGATTAGCGATTTCTTCAGATAACAATTCAGGTATATATTTTTCCCCCCATTGCTGAGGTGTTTGTTCTTGCTCTGTGAGCTAGTAGACAAACTCAGGGAAGTCTCCAGGGTTCTCAGTCTATCACCTTTCACGAACAGTAAAGTCACAGAAAAAAAGGCCAGCTTTTTTTGTTGTTTCTTAAGGTATTTTTCTAGTCCAGCAGATGAGTGAGCATGTTGGTGTGTTTTTGTCAGCTCATTAGTTTTCTAATTTTGATAGTGAAGCCTTATTAACCTTTAATTCCTCAGAATCATACTTCATTCTCACTTTAGATGTGATTTTGCAATACTTTAATAGTAGAATAAATAATCCAGTTGTTTGTTTATCAAAGATATATTTTATTTCTCATTTCAAAGCCAATCACAAATATTCTTGCTGTTTGTTGGGGGTTTTTTTATCCCTTGTAATAACTAGTTTTGCTGGGTCATCTTTGATAAATATAAATGCAATATATATATATAAACACAATAAAAGAATAATAGTAATTTGTACACTTATGGAGTATTATTTTGGATGAAAGATAACAACGCACAGGCTCTAAAATAGTTACTATGCGACTTGAAATTTAGTCACTCTCTGTTGCCACAAACGGGGTATAAACAAGCTCTTGTATCACAAGCGATGTTTTTCTGGTACAGTTAACTTATTTCTGTCTCCTTAAACTAGTTTGTCTTTATGCTTTGAATGCTACAGTAATTTCTTTAATCAAATTGATGGAAGTCCCTTTCCCAGCCCACACTGAAACCAATTTATTGGTCATGATACGCCGGCTATGTTGCTAACAGTCGTAACGAACTGTCAGGCAATATCGCAGTGGAGCTAATTTGAAGTCATTAGGTGTGCAGCGTTCAGGCAACAATTTGTTACAGTGGTTAGGAACACAGCTGACATTTCTGAATGGCTTTGTTCAGAGCAGTTCTAGATGAGCCCAAGCAAATTGTAAACTAATTTAAACATCACTCTATATTATAGTAGCTACTTTGTCTTACACTGGTTGCTAATAAAGCACCCCAAATTAAGTCAGAGTGAGTTAAGTAGGTGAGTTTGAGTTTCATCTTTAGAAGATACTTAGATCACCTTAACCAAAATAGAGTATCTCTCAAAGAAGTCAGTCATGCTCCATAGCAGTTTCAGGGAAACTTTTGTTAGTTTGATTTGTGAATATGCTGGGGAGCTTTGATTTGGCTGGAGGGATAAGAAGAACAGAGGGATGAGACTGATCAGCCTTTAAAATGATGGCTTTGGTTAGCTTGGAAAAGGTATTGGATGCTGTAAACTGGCCTTGAAAATTTAAAGTCTGTGATCTAAACCAGTTGAGGAAAATTTCTACCATGAGACAGCGTTTTAGTACAAAGTAGGTTCAAAACTGTACCTCCACTGGTAAAGCCACACTAGGTAAGTTTACTTACCTGATTCCATTTACAAATGAGAAGGAACAAAAAAACACACAAAAAAAGGAAATTAAGACAATGTTTTTATAAGTCTTCAACTAACAGAGAACAGTGATAAAATTTGTGCTTGTTGTCTGTCATTTGAATGCAAAAATCAAAATGCAAAAGGGCTGGACATGCCAAAGGGCAAGTGATGAGCTTTTGTAGCTTGGTTTTGAATGATGGAGTACTGCTGAACTTGAACTGCCTACACTCAGCTAATGTCTGGCACAAAACAACTTGTAGAAGAGCCTGGAGTGGTTCTAGCTGACTTGTTTTCTAAGCTAACAAATGTTTCTATAGGCAGAAACATAACAGAATGGGGAAGAGGGTGCAAATTGCATGAAAGTTCACTGTAGCTTGGCAGACTAAGTAAATTCTTGGTGTAAATCTCTTAGAGTCGATTAATTACACCAGTAGTGAATTTGTGCCTAGCACAGCAAAGCAGCAATCAGCAAATCTTTCTTTACTATAGTGATTTCTTAAGGTTCAGTGTAATTAAAGGCCCTTATATATCAGGTGCTTAATAACTAATAAAGATCTCAACTGTAAAGCATTGCAATGTAAAATTTGTCTTTGTGGAAGAAAGCGAAACAATGTTTTTTGCTATTCCAAAAGAAATTCTTTTAATGGGATTACCTGTGGAAAGGTAACAATGCAATACGCATTCTGCCCTGGCCAACCATTTCCCTTTGCAGTCATCAACTAAAAAATGTTTTCAAATTATACAAAGTTCAGGTGCTTTCATAAAATCATTAGTATTTTTGTGGTATTGGAAACATTTTAATAGTTGCTTTTATTGAACAAAAAGTCTATACCATCTACAAAAGGAAATATTGAAAGAAAAATATATATGGAAGGCCTTTATCAGTAAATAGAATTAGTCTCCTTGCATTTATAAATCAAATAAATGGAAAGTGTGTTGTTATGAAACATGACCATGTCTTATCTGAAGAAGAAAAAGATCACAATGGCATTAGGAAATGCTTGACTTTAGTTAGGGAGGCGTAAGGGCACAAGAACAGATGATGGTGCCCTAATAGCCCTTTTTAAGAATGACAGGGCCCCGCCATTAGCATCCTTTTATATCCTTGGAAATTGCTCATGCCTCGCTTTTATGGTTCCTATCTGCCTGACTCTTTTTTATTTCTCTTTCAATTTCATCCGCGCTCGGATAAGCGCATGCTAACACAATATGATTGAGCTGTAAAATGGAACGCTGTCGCCTCTAATCTCTTTTATGTAGATATGGAGGTACTTCCACACTCCACTTCATTCTCTCTCCATTGTTGGCCTTTTTAGAATGTGTTGCCGAGTAATGGAGGCTCAGTCAAATATTAGAGCTAGGTTTCACAGGGTGTGATAAGAAGATTATCGGCCCAGCAGTCAGATCTATTGTTGTTCTTTGTGTCAGATTAAAATATTCTGATGTACTGTAACTTCGTTAGTAAAATACTGGAGGTGCTTTGGGAGAGGCTGATGCTGCCTCATCTCCTGCCTGATGAGACAAAACTCCTATTAACTGACCTAAATAAATTGTAAATATATTATAAAGCCTCTGTAAGGCTTTTATTTTGTTTTATTTATTTTATTTCACTTTGTTTCATTTTATTTCAGTTTATATCTTCTAAATAAGGGAGCCTTTCTTAATTCAATATTTTCTGGCGGTTGAGTTTCCTACCCTTTGCGCACTGTATTTTGGGAAGTTTCCATTTTGTATTGGTTGTGTTATATTGATTAAACTTTTGCAGTATGGAGTGGTATTCTGCTGATACCTGATCAGGGTATCAGAGTTGTTTAGGCGCGATTCCTGTAATGCAACTCTCTCGCTGACATTCAGCGAAAATGTGCAATGTTCTTTCATATTAAGTGGAGGTGGCAAACATTAAGCTCTTAAAAATGTGCATAACAGGAAGCTAAAGACAAAATGTTCTCTAAAAAATTTGCATGCATGAAAAAACATCAACCAGACCATAGAAATCAACTTTTTTGCACTTAAGATGAAAAATTTGTTTGGAAACAGTAAATCAGACTAATACATCAAAAATAACTAGTTACATTATTTAGTAAAATAAGCCTGCTTGTCTTCAGCTGTGTCCCTGTTTTGTTAGCAGTAACCGTGTTCAAGGAAAGGAATAGTTAGAAATTGATACTGTCACTGGTGCTAGCATTAAAAAAAAAAAAAAACCACAAAAAAAGAGGGGAGGGAGAATGATTTTGATGGAGTAAATACAAGAACGTTTTGAATATTTTAGTGCTAATGTTAATTTTTTATGAAACATTGTTGCTCTGGCATACTCTTTGTAGAGGACAATATTTAAGCTTTCCTTTCCAAAGCAGCTCTCAGAGGTGTAGTTTAACATTGTAATACTGAACGGGAACATGATATGCTTCAGCATTGTCACTTCTAAAATGCCCTTTTCTCATCATCTGCTTCAGAAGTACCACCCCATGTAGGTAAAAGTATAGAAGAAAAGTTGACCAGAGTCACTTTTGGAAAGCTAATGTTTAGGAAAGCATGAGCACTTACACACATGGTACGTCCATGCAGATAGGAATTAGGTGCATGTTCTTATGCACATAGTTGTTTATTATCTGCCTCTAAGTGGAAATACAGTATGTGTTTAAATACCAGAGAAAAAGTCAGAGTGTTTTTATGGTCATACCTGAAATCATATGTTGCAGCTACCTGGTGTATATAATAACATACAGTGCAGCCAGAGCCAGCATCCTGTTCATGCCCAGATCTTTTTCTGTATGGTTTACTGGGGCAGCTAGTACAGAATCTCAGTCCTGTAAGGGAAATACGTGTTTTCCTGTATGTCTGTGACACGCTGCTTGCTGCTGTAAAA